CCGACTCCATGGCACACCACCACCACCAGCAGGAGCTTCACAGTGCTGAGACGCCAAGTCCAGAGGATTCACTGCTACCCTGAATCTTCTTTCTTGGTGTTAGTTTTTTGTTGTTAAGTGCTGTTGAGTCAGTTCCTACCCATAACGACCCTGTATAAGGTTTCCAAGGAGCAGCTGGTGAACTTGAACACTCAGCCTTGCAGTTCAAACCAACTGTTCAGTCCAGCGCATTAATCTACAGTGCCACACCAGGACTACTGGTATTAGTAGGTCCCTCTTTTTCAACTCATTTCTCTCTCCTTTTGTATTTCAAAAAAGAGTTTCTCAAACCCTAATCCTGTAAATCCTGTAGATTGAGTCCAACTTCATTAACATAATTAATTTTTTTAGGTGCTTTTTAGTTGGTTCCAAATGACACAACAGAATGAATTACTGTCTGGTTCTGTGCCATTCTCATAATTGTTGTTATGTTTGAGCTCATTGCTATTGCCACTGTATCACTCTATCTCATTGGGGGTTTTCCCCTTTATTTGCTCACCCTCCACTTTACCAAGTGTGGCATCCTTCTCCAGGGACTGGTTCCCCCTGATAAAATGTCTAAGGTATGAAAGTTGAAGTCTGTCCACCCTAACTTCTAAGGAGCATTTGGCTGTACTCCTTTGAAGATTTGTTTGTTCTTCCGACAGTTCATGGTTCTTTTAATAATCTTCTCCAGACTCATAATTCAAATACACTGATTCATCTACAGTCTTCCTTATTCATTGTCCAACTTTCACATGCATATGAGGCTATTGAAAATACTATGGCTTGAGTCAGGTGCACCTTAGTCCTCAAATTGAGATCTTTGCTTTTAACCACTTTAGAAAGGTCTTGTGGAACAGATTTACCTGATGCAATGCGTTGTCTGATTTCTTGACTGCTGCTTCCAGGAGTGTTAAATATTGATCAAAGCAAAATGAAGTCTTTGACAAAATCACTAGTTTTCTCCATGTTATTTAGTGATTGAATTATGAGGATTTTGTTTTCTTTACATTAAGAAGCAATCTATGTTAAAGGCTGACGTTCATGATATTCATCAGTATTTTAAGTCCTCTTCCCTTCCAGCAACTAAGGTTGTATCATTTGCATATCACAGGTTGTTAAGCAATCTTACTCCATTAGAGATTCCATGATCTTCTCCAAATAATCCAGCTTCATGATTTTTTGTTGTTGTTGTTGTTGTTGTTCAGAATATAGATTGAATAAGTATGGTGAAAAGATACAATCCTCACCCACACCTTTCCTGATGTTAAATCATTCAGTCTCCCATTATACTGTCCTAACAATTGCCTATTGGTTTATGCACAGGTTAAATGCTCTGGAATATCCAATATTCATAATGTTATCCATAATTTGTAATGATACACACACACATAGTCAAAGCCTCTGCATATTCAATAAAGCACAAATAAACATATTTCTGGCATTCTCTGTTTTCAGCCAAGAGCCAGCTGATGTCAGCAGTGATATTTCTCATTCCATGTTCTTTTCTGGATCTGGTATATAATTCTGGCAGTTCTCTGTTGATTTACAGTTGTAACTATTTTTTTTTTTAATTTTCTTCAGCAAAATCTAACTTGCATGTGATATTGTTTTATGATTTCTGCATTCTTTTGGGTCACCTCTCTTTGGAATGGGCACAAATATCAAATATGAATCTGCTCCAAACACTTGGTCAAGTAGCTGTCTTTTAAATTTCTTGGCATAGATAAGTGAGTACCTCCAGTGTTGCATCTATTTGTTGAAAGAATTCAATTTGTATTTTGCCAATTCCTTGAAGCATGTTTTTCACCAATGCCTTCATTGCAGCTTCAAGGTGACCATTTCTTTTTTGGTATAGAGACTTTTTTGTGTATTCCTCCCTCTTCTTTTGATACTTTCTACACCATTCAATATTTTTCCATGGAATCCTTCAATATTTAATGTCAAAGTTTGATTTATTTTTTTTCTTCATATTTTTCAGCTTGAAAAATGCTGAGTATGTTCTCCCCTTTTGATTTTCTATCTCAAGGTCAATTTTTCCCCCTGTGTATTCCTATTAGAATCATAGAAGTGGGGATTTATAGCACATTGGATATTACATCAGATCATAGCTCATCACTTCACATCACATCATGCAAGTAATTATTTTATTTTAGATCTCATCATACAGGTGAGCGCTACATCTGAACTTCTAAACCACTGAGAATCCTGTCCTAGCCACGTTGACACAAAACCTTAACAATCACAATAAAACATCTCCCATAATAGTCTGCATAAATGAACTGCTGCTTTTAGCAAACAACTTGCTTTCTACACTGTGCAATAATTTTTATGCAGAATCCCTTGAATACTTGTTTATTCTTTGAACTATTAATGGCACATGATGCTTTAGGTGTCACATGTTTATTTCCATTGAAAAATCATGTCCTATTTTTAAGAAAGTAAAGAAACTTGTAAGACTTTATAAAACATCAAATATTTCTTGCAAAACAATTTGATGGAATAAACGTAAATGAATCAGAAGCATGTGAATTGTATTCCAATTAAAATTAATGAGTTTAAAAATGAAGGGGATAAAATGCTTGAGGGCACAGAATGTGGTAAGGCGGGAAATAACATTTGTTTTGTTTTCATCAGTCTTGGATTCTTGAAAAATGGCCTGATTCAATCTCATTTGAATTCGCTGAACCCTAATGATGGAGTTACAGAATATGCAACTGCATTTTCTAACCTTATCTTATTCCACTTATAAATTATGCTTCAAACATTACCACTGTGTATTTATTCAAAAGCAGTTAAGACTAAAGTTAGCCTATTTTCAATGAACTATTTTAAGGATAAGTAGTAAATTATAAGGCATCCTGGCATGGCTCTGTGAATAAGCATTGGACTGTTAACCACAAGGTTGAAAGTTCAAAACTACCAGTGACTCCTCAGAAACCCTATGTGGGGTCACTATAAATTCAAACTAAATCGATGGCATTTAACAATAACAACTGTAAAATGTAATGATGCTACAGATATGTTTTATCCCCATAGAGCAACACAGAAAGTTTTCAGGCATCAGCTTCATATTTATTTTTTCTTTTTAACTGAAAATCATCATATCTAAATGAAAAGCATGGGCACTGGATGTGCCCATATATGTAGTAGAGGGACCTGAAGAGAAAGAAATACAATGAGAGTGAGAGTGCGGGAGAGAGAGAAAGACAGAGGAAAAACTATGCACACAGAGTTTAATTATCAGTCCTTCAGAACCAACTCAACAACACTTAGTTAGCAACAACAATCTTATAAATATAGCATTTGATTTACACTAATTATTTGAGTCACAGAAATTGCATCTCATAATTACATCATTTATGCTTATTTTAAAATTATTGCATATCATCTTTTAATTTTTTTTTATCTTTCAGTTTAAAGTATACATATTACTATAAAAATCAATTAGGAAAAAAAAAAAAGGCTTGCAAAGAAGTATTGCTTTCAAAGTGCTTGAAATTATGACTAAATTTGATATATGGTGTGACATTTTAGTTTCTCAACTCTTAGTGTGAAAACAAAAATATTTTAAATGCTCCAAAAACTTCCATGAGGCAATGAATGCATAATTAGGGTATGCTTTTATTTTTTATATAATCTATGACACTGCTGAAGTAGCCTTCAGAGCATACAATTTGGTAGAGAAGTACATGAACAAATGTTCTTTCTGTGTTTATGGCAGCTCGCTAACAACTCTTCTTAGCTGCCATTGAGATGACCCTGTCCCATCATATCCATGATGGTTAGGGGACAAGACTATGAAGGAAAGTTGGTGATTCCTCCTCATTTAGTATATGAAAAGCAGTGTGGCAAAGATCACTATACATTTGCACCTGAAATTGTTAGTGGTTGTTGGTGGCTGTGTTCTCTCAAGTCAGTTCTGACTCATAGTGATCCTTTGTAGGGTTTCTGAGACTACATCTTTACAGAAGCAGAAAATCCTCACCTTTCTCCCATAGAGTAGCTGATAGATTCAAACCATTGATCATGTGTTTAGCAGCTCAACTCAACCCTCTACCAGAGATATTGATAACTAAGGTGCACCTGACCCAAGCCATGGTATTTTCAATATGCATGTGAAAGCTGGGCAGTGAATAAGGAAGATCATAGAAGAATTGATGCTTTTAAGTTATGGTGTTGGAGGAGAATATTGAAAGTGCCATGGGTTGCCAAAAGAACCAATAGATCCATTTTGGAAGAAGTGCAGTCAGAGTGCTCCTTGGAGGCCAAGATGGCCAAACTTTGTCTCTCATACTTTGGACATATTGTCAGGAGGGACCAGTCACTGGAGAAGGATATGATGTTTGGTAGGGTGGAAGATCAGAGAAAAAGAGGAAGATCACCAACGAGATGGATTAGCCAAGTGGCAGCATCAATGGACTCAAGCATGGCAATCGTAGTGAGGTTGGCCCAGGATCAGGCAGTGTTTCGTTCTGCTGTGCATAAGGTTGCTGTGGGTTGGTACCAAATCGATGGCACCTAACAACAACAACAATCTATACAGGGAGTCATCATGTGGCACTGTGGGCTAATGTGTCAGACTGCAAAGTCATTTGAACTGCAAGGTCAGTGGTTCAAGCTCACCAGCTGCTCCTTGGAAACCCTATATTGGGTAACTGTGGGAACTTAATAACAACAATCCATACAGATTTTAGATCCGAACCCCAAAATTTGTCACTGAAATTTTTTTCAATTTTTGTTTTTCTTTATCTTTGTCAAGTTTTTCTTTATCTTTGTCACCATCAACAATCAGTATTTATAAAGTTCCTCACTAAATATCACTATGCAGGAGCTATGCAGAATACACTGGTATATTTCCCTTTAGCAAGGACATGTTGTGTTATCTTTATTATTGTGATCTCTTACAGTAACTTTTCATAAGTGTTACATAATCCAATCAACTTTGCTTTCTATGTTGTCATTCCATTTTACCACAGGCCTACCCTTGTAGCAGTGATAAGGAATGTGAAGTTGGGCGATATTGCCACAGTCCCCACCAAGGATCCTCAGCTTGCATGGTGTGTCGGAGGAAAAAGAAGCGCTGCCACAGAGATGGCATGTGTTGCCCTAGCACCCGCTGCAATAATGGTAAATGATCTCCCTACATATTCATGGGCCTCCTTTATAATATTGTTATTAGCTGCTGCTGAGTTGGCCCCTAACTTATAGTGACCCTAAGCACAAAAAAACAAAATATTACATAATCCAGTGCCATCCAATGATAGGATAATAGGATTTTCATTGCTTTTTTTTTTTTTTTTTTTTTTCCTTGAAGTAGATATCTAGACTTTTCTTCCTAGCCTGTGTTGGTCTGGAAGCTCCACTGACACCTGTTTAGCATCACAGCAAAAGGCAATGTTCCTTTGAGTGTTGTGTGGTAGCTGTGCATGAGTTGCACTGACTGAAAATCTACCAGTAAACCTTTTCATATAGGCCTGTATTGCAAGTTAAGTTAACTTCTCATTAGTCAGACCCTTACATTATAAGAAACCTTTTAAAACTGGGAGGGTTTGGTTTATGGTTTAGGCACATGTAAATATACCTGGATTACCCCCAAATGCTTAATTGTCAAGAGATTTGATCACTTTTTATATTTTACAATCCTAGTAATTTAATGATTCAGTACTTGGCTACTAACTAAAGTGTTGGCAGTTAGAACCCACCAGTCATTCCACACAAAAAAAGACCTAGCAATCTGCTCTCATGAAGATTACAGCATAGATGATACTCTAGGAGACAAAGGTCTATGGGATCACTGTGAATCAGAATTGACTTAAAGACACACAACAACAGCAACATAGTGTTGCTGTGCTGAAGTGTTGCATACAAATAAATGTTTTGCACTCCAGTAAAAACATTAACAAAACGCAAATACTGATGCTGTAGGATAAGTCCTGGATCACAAAGTTGATTTGAACTGCAAGGAAGATTGCTCAACCTCACCAGCCACACTTTGAAAACCCTATACAGGGTTGCTGTGAGTTGGACCTGACTCGACAGCACTTAACAACTAAGAACCAAAGAATCTGTTGTGATTTGGGAATGAAATTGTGAGTGCCTTAAGTGCAGCAGCTCTGTAGGATAAGCAATGAACTGTGAGCCATAAGAAGCCTCAGAAATCCTAGGTAGGTTAAAACCGACTACCTGGCACATAATAACAACCCCCAGTTTCATATCTTGGTTCTTAAATTCCAGACCTCTTCTTTATAAGGCACACTTACCTTACGTGTTAGCCAACTCCTCCCAAAACAAACATAGGATGCTGTTTCTCAGTCTTTGCATAAGCATGGCTCCACTAAGTTCCAATGGATTTTAGGCAGATATTTCAGCATTAAAGAACACAATGACAGATCACAGACAAAACTATAATGAAAACATTAACTCACCTCAGAAAATAGTCAGAAACATATACTGAGTCACACACATATAAATAATCAAACTCATATTTTTTTCATGCCTGTTCCTCACCAATTGGCATACTCGTACTGTAAATAATTTGGACACAAGGTGAATAAAAAAGGATCTCACATCATTAAAGATGTTTGCAGTGTAGACTATTGTCATTGATAAGTATTATCGAGTCAAATTCCAACTCATAGTGACCCTCTACAGAGTTTACAGGGACAGCTGCGGTTTGAACTGCTGACCTCATGGTTAGCAGTCCAGTGTGTAAACTCATATTATATTATTCATTGATTTATCCTGAGGATAAATCTCTGGTTAGATCATTTATAAATAAGCATTTAAAAAAAAAATTGTCATCGAACTGAATCTAAATTATTATGAATCCATGTGTGTAAGAGCAGAATAGTGCTTCCTAGGTTTTTTTTTTTTTTTTTCTTGTAGTTGTTGTTGTGTTATAAATTCATTTAACTTTTTACTGTGTCACAATTCTAAGCACTTCATGTGTATTCTTATTAGTCCATTGTAAGTGACTGTTTTTATTCCTAATTCTGCCCAAGGTCACTGGGTCTTGGCAGAGCCAAGATTCAAATCCAGAATAAAGCTACACAATACTCAATCTCAACAAATAAATTAATGAATAAATGAATGGATGTATGTGTGAATTAATAAATAATTGGTTCATACTTCAGATCAAGAGAATGCTTGGGTAAGTGCCACACTATAGAATTCAATTAATCTAACTGCTTGCATGATTACTTCCAGGAATCTGCATCCCAGTCACTGAGAGCATCTTAACCCCACACATCCCAGCCCTGGATGGCACTCGACACAGAGATCGAAACCATGGACATTACTCAAACCATGACTTGGGGTGGCAGAATCTAGGACGACCACACTCTAAGATGCCACACATAAAAGGTAGGGCTATTTGTAGCTCTATGGCATTTTTGTTGTTGTTGTTTTCCCTTTGTGTTTTAAAGAAGAAGAAAAAAATCAAAATGTGGGTAATTAATTCCATTAATTTTAGAAAAAATCACAAGGAATGTATTTAAGTGCAAGATATTAAGTGAGTGTATTAATTCCTAGTTTGATGATTGAGGAAGAGCTATCTTCTCAAAATAGAATTGACCATGATGATGTGAATGGGACCTTTATTTGCTGGTGGGGCACAACTCAAAATGAGGAGAAACAGCTACAAGCATCCATTAGTCATCAGAACATGGAATGCATGAAGTATGAATCTAGGAAAACTGGACATTGTCAAAATGAAATGGAATGTATAAAGATCAATATCCTAGTCATTGTTGTTGTTGTTGTTAAGTGCCGTCGAGTCGGTTCCGACCCATAGCAACCCTGTACAGGGTTTCCGAGGGTGTAAATCTTTACGGGAGTAGAAAGCCTCATCTTTCTCCCGTGGAGCAGCTGGTAGTTTCGAACTGCTGACCTTAAGGTTCACAGCCCAATTCATAACCACTACATTACCAGAGCTCCTTATTAGTGAGGTAAAATTGGCTATTTTGAAGCAAACAGTCATATGGTTTACTATGTCAAGAATAAGAAATTTGAAGGAATGCCATCATAGTCAGCATAGAAAAGAACATTTCAAGATCTATCTTCAAATTCAATGCTGTTTATGATAGGATAATATTCATATGCCTACAAGAAAGACCAGTTAATACCACTATTATTCAAATTTATGCACCAAATACTAAAGCCAGTAATGATGAAATTAAAGAATTCTAGTAACTTCTTTAGTCTGAAATTGATCAAACATGCAATCAAAATGTATTGATAATTATTCATGATTGGAACGACAAGGTTGGAAACAAAGAGGAAGGATCAGTAGTTGGAAATATGGCCTTGGTATTATAAATGATGCTGGCGATCGCATGATAGAATTTTGCAAGACCAATAATTTATTTATTGCAAATAACTTTTTATGTTTAATGTGAACATCACAAGATGGAATACACAAGAATTATACTGACTATATCAGATGGAACAGATGGTAGAAAAGTTCAACATCATCTTCAAAACAAGACCAGTAGAAAACGGCGGTAAAGGCCATCAATTGCTCATATGTGAGTTTAGACTGAAGCTGAATAAAATTAAAACAAGTCCTAAAGAGCCACAATATGACCTGGAATATATCCCACCTGAATTTAGATAGAGATCATATCAAGAACATATTAGATGCATTAGGCACTAATGACTGAAGACCAGAGAAATAGTGGGATGACATCATGAACGTCTTAAAGACAAAGGTAATTAAAAAGACACAAAAGAAACTATACACCTACATGGATGTCAGAAGAGGCTTTCTTTTTTTTTTTTTTTCACTCTAGCATAAAGATGCTACAGTGATTGGAAGAAATGAGTAAGTCAGAGAGCTGAACAGAAAAATGTAAAAGGCAGTTCAAGAAGTCAAAACAGAGCATTATAATGAGATGTGCAAAGACCTGGAATTAGGAAACCAAAAAGGAAGAACATGCTCAGGATTTCTCAAGTTGCAAGAACTGAAGAAAAAATTCAAACCTTGATTTGAAATATTGATTGATGGTATAGGCAAAATATTGAATGATGTAGAAAACTTCAAAAGGAGGTGAAAGGTATACACAGAGTTACTCTAGTAAAAAGAAATGGATGATGTTCATACATTTAAAGAGATATCATATGATCAAAAAATGATAGTACTGAGGGTGAGGTATAAGTTACACTGAAGGCATTTGTGAGAAAGAAGACTTGTAGTAATTGATGAAACAAAATTGACATCTTTCAACAAACTGATGAAGCACTGGAGGCACAAAATCATCTATGACAACAAATTTGGAAGCCAGCTACCTTCCCAAACAATTGGAAGAAATCCATATTTGTGACCCAAGATCATTGAGCAATATAATTAATATCACATTAAAGTAAAATTTTGCTGAAGATAATTGAAAAACAGCTTCAACACAGCAATCAAATTGGAATGGCTAAAAATTCAAACCAGAATCAGAGAGGCCATGGAACTAAGGATATAATTACTGTTGTCAGATGAATCTTGACTGAAAGCAAAGGATACCCAAAAGACGTTTACCTGTGTTTAATTGACAATGCAAAGACTTTGACTGTGTCGGTCATGAAAAGCTATGGATAACATTGCAAAGAATGGGTATTGCAGAACACTTAATGAGGAACCTGTACATAAACCAAGAGGCAATTGTTTGAACAGAACAAGGGGATACTGGGTGGTCTAAATCAGGAAAGGTGTGTTGTAGGGCTATGTAAACTGAGCAAATAATCTGAGAAACTGGATTGTATGAAGAAGAACAAGTCATCAGTGTCAAAGAAAGATACATTAGCAACCTGCAATATGCAGATGATACAAACTCACTTGCTGGAAGTAAAGAAAACTTAAAATACTTACTGATGAATATCAAAGACTGCAGTCTTCAGTATAGATAACACCTCATAAAGAACACAAAAATCCTCACAACTACATCCTGTTTGGTAAAGTGGAGGGACAGAGAAAAATAGGGAGACCTCTAATGAGATGGATTGGCAAATGACATCAACAATGGATTCAAGTGCAGCAGCAATTGTGAGGTTGGTGCAGGATTGGACAGTGCTTTGTTATGTGATCGATAGAGTCTGAACTGACTTGAAGGCACTTAACAGCTTACCACTAATGAATAACTTTATGATAAGTGAAAAAACAATTGATGTTGTCAAACACTTCATTTTGCTTGAGACCATAAACAACACTCAAGGAAGCATCAACTAAGAAATCAAAGGGTGTATTGTGTTCAGCTAATCTGCTCCACAAGACCTCTTTGAAGTTGTAAGGCGTTAAGATTATCTGTTTTAGGACTAATGTGCTCCTGGCCCAATCCAAGGTATTTTCAGTATCCTCATATGCATGTGAAAATTGGGCAATGTATAAGTAAGAGCAGAGCAGAATTGATGCATTTGAGTTATGGTGCTGGAGAAGAATGTTCAAAGTACTATGGTCTGTCAGAAGAACAAACAACTCTGTCTTGGAAGAAATACAGGAAGAATACTCAATAGAAGCCAGATTGGTGAGATTGTATCTCAAATATTTGGGATATGTTATCATGAGGGAAAGTCCATGGAGAAGGGCATCATTCTTGGTAAAGTGGAGTGCAGTGAGAAAGAGGAAGACATCTAATGAGATGGGATGGCACAATGGCAGCAGCAATTAACCATAACAATATTGAGGAGCTCGTTCTGTTGTGCATAGAGTTGCTATGACTCAACATCACTTAAATAAAGTTGACTATTTAAGACCTTTTTGTTGTTGTTGTTGTTGTTAAGTGCTGTCACATTGGTTCCAACTTATACTGAGTCTGCATAGGGTACCTGAGGAGTGACTGGTGGGTTTGAACTATAGACTTTGTGGCTCAAAATGACTTTGCATTCCAGTGCATTATCCTGCAGCACTACACCAGGACTCTTTAAGTCTTAAATTGTTAGAGAAATATATCTCAGGAAAATTACAGTAATTAATCCAATAAAAAATACAACATTCTTACACAGAATTTAGAATTTACGCAAGCATTTTTGTCATATCAAGTGATAAATTATTCTAAAAAGTAAATTGGAAAGTGTTGTCATATAGTTTGATCACTTCACTTTTGTGCCTCTTTCTCACCTTTGCCAATTCAGAAACTTGATTTTACTAAAGAAGCAGATCATATAATTTACCAAATAATTGATTTATTGTGAGATTTAGCCAAAAACTGTGCTTCCTGGTATCAAAATATTTGATAAAGCGAATCACTTTTGGGTAGAGTTCTCCTGTGGCATTTATAATTGCATAGGTGATTCAAAACTATCAACTGCTCCTCAGAAACTTTAGACTGAGTTGTTATGAGTCAGAACGGACCTGACAGTACTTAGCAACAACAATCACTTATAGTAAAATTTTATAAACTGGAAATTATTTAGCCTGATAAATGGGATCTTTTTTCAAGGAAATTCCCCTCCCTTATGTGTGTTCTGTGGATTACTTTTTGTGGTTTAGACCCAGAAGGGAAAAACTTTCTATGTACATAGGTGTCAAGAGACAAAAAAAAAAAAAAAAAAAAAAAGACCAGGACCCAATCCAAAGGCATTAGTATATTATAGAAAAGAAAATGAAAGATGTTTTACTGACAAGGGAAGGGGACGCCAGATGGACTATGAAGTTCTCCACACAAGGGTAATGGGCTGGGGTCTTCATATCATGGGTTATACAAGCTTCACATGAGTCAGGGCAGTTAAGGGTGGTATATGGAACAAGGAGGAAGTAGGAAAAGAAAACCCACAAGGTGTGGGGCTGGGATTGCCTGCCTCTTTCTAAAGAACAAAGAGTTTTGATATGCATAGTGAAAGGAGGGGGCTGTTGGCTCCTTCCTAATGTATGCATAACTGAAGCATGAGAAAAAGAAGTTTCAGTATGCACAGCAAGAGGAGGGGTCTGTCTGCTCCTTCCTAGATAGTTGGAGTAAGGGGAAAGGATAGGAGATATGGTTTTAGTTGACATTAGCATGGACATTTTGGAGTTTTTAGTTTGTGTGCCAACAGTACTATTCTTTCAAGATATTCTGTGAACTAAAGTGTCCTTTGATCAAATGAGTTTTTAGTAGTATATCCCTCCATTTTGAATATTTACAAAAAATATTAACATCCTGAAGGCTCTGAGAAGTCCAGCAATGAAGAAAAATGAGTAATTTTTTTTAACACTGTATTTCTCCAGCGTGTTTTAACACAGAATAATTTCCCCAAATTGTTGTGTCTTGTAAAGCTAGTATCTTATAAATATATCTGACTTATTATTATGTCCTGGTCTAGTAATAATCATATAAAAAGTGTTTATGGGAATTTGACAAACAACTCCTCCTCAATTATCCTCCCTAAAATTCAAAGTGCTTTTTCCCCATTTCTTTTATTCTAATTCCAACAAAATCACACACCTTTATTGTTTCATTAGTATACCTCTTTGATGCCACAAATCTTTATGTTACAGTACAGTTACAAATTTACTAATTATTTTTATTCATCTATACATGTGATTTTTTTTATGACAAATAAGAAGCAATCTTATGTTAGATGGCTATTGAGTTGTGCCTAGATGTTAAATGTAGTTAAATATATCTGGGTTGACAGATAACTTTTCAGACCAGGGACTGGAAAACTATGGCCCATGAGCCCAATCTGTTCTGCTGCTTTTTAAAAAAAATAAAGAATGTTTTATTTTGACAACAAACCAATTACCTTAATTCTGACTAATGGCAGCTGATATGTACCAGAACCATGCTCCATAGAGTTTCAATGGCTGATTTTATGGAAGTATATAATTAAACGTTTTTTCTAAGATGCTTCTGGGTAGACTGGCGCTTCCAACCTTTCAGCTAAACTTGTAAACCATTTGAACTCCCCAGGTACTCTTAATGGTACACAGACACACCCATTCATGAAGCCATTGTCTATGACTGCTTTTGCAAAACAAAAATAAAGCTGAGAAATTTCAAGAGAGTATATGGCCTGAAAAGTCTAAAAAATTGTCAATTCCTACTTTATACAGATTACTGATCAAGCCAACCATGTTATATGGGTGTTAGTTTCTGACCTACTCCTTTTAAAAATCTTAATGAAATAACCACATTTGTACCTTCACATGTTTTCTTTCCTACCTTCCTTTCTTCTTTCCTTCTTTCTTTCCTTCCTTCCTTCCTTCCTTTCCTTTCCTTTCCTTTCCCTTTCCTTTCCCTTTCCTTTCCCTTTCCTTCCTTCCTTCCTTCCTTCCTTCCTTCCTTCCTTCCTTCCTTCCTT